ATCTTAGAATCTACTAGAAACTCCTTACCTCTCTTTGATATTGATCTCAGTTTGCAAATTAGCAAGATTATCCCTAAGCACTGCCCCTGAATGGTAACTTATTCTGACTTTTGAAGAATCACTACCAAAGATTTGAAAACCTTTGCTATCCTCCTCAAACACCTGCTCATCGTCAACGTCTTGATCATAATCTTCATCTTCATCCAACTCATCAGCGTCATTACTCGTGCCATCCTCTTCAGCAGTGTCAGCATGGGATGCATAATCCGAAGTCACTAAACATGTCGTTTTGTAAAATAAAGATGGTTGATAGAAAAAGTACGAAAAAAAAAGAGAGCATTTCAGAAGACAGCATCAATTTAAATATATAAGAAAATCAATATATTGATAAGTAGAAACGACAGATAAAAATACATTGGAAAGCCTAGCCTTCGTTTGTAAAATTTTCATGAAAACATATCTAGAACATTACTTCTTCCTTAGTAAGTTACGACGCGCAAAGTTCGAATATCACTAGGTCGTCGAAAACTTTTCGCCGATTTTTGCTTAAAATTTCGAAAGTTAGAATCACTACTGTTATAAATCTTTACAAAAATAAGCTAAGTTCCAGTTTGGTATTTAGTTTGGAAATGATCAATTGGAATGGAGAAAAGCATCAATAGAAGTGATAGCACACCATCAATTAGTAAAATCCCAAAACTTCCTTGAAACTACGAGGCTTGCGTGGTGTGGTTCTGTGAAAAGTGAATCACAAAAAAAAACCCTAACTTCGCACAATCCCTAACTTTAAGATTACGACTTTAGGATGAATACATGGACAAGTGAAGTGCAGAGTCACCAGAAGAAAGGTCATCTGATATTCGTTCACAAGAATCTACACCATACTGTAGGGCCTTACACGACCGACATAAAATCATCGAAAGCTCCTCGTCAGAAGCGATTAGTATGATCAGCCATCAGTAATGCGATGTGGTTGTGATTTTCTTGGAAGTTCTTGGATAACCCTAATCTGGATGAATCTATGACTGATCTCGTAAGGCAGAATAGAGACGATTTTCGTAATCGAAGCATCAAAGAGCCACATTAAGCAAAATGTCAGCAAGCTCTTTGCGATTAGAAAAAGTGTCCAATCCTGTGGTTAGAATAATTGTCCTTGATTTCGAGCAAGTTCAACTAATCCTGCTTTTTGAAATCAGAAATTCTGGCAACGCAAGCAAGGCGTATCTCTCTCAACAATCTTCACGATATTACAAAATTGGACGCAAAAGTTTAATAGTGGAGTCAAAAATTTTTTAAAATCGAAGCAATGAAAAACGACGAAAATAAAGCTTCGCAAGAGGTTTGCGCAGTTATAGTAAGGCATGAATATATGTTCTCAACAAGAATGTCACATGTTTCTTTGACACTTGAAAAAAAGGAATAAATTCGGGAAAAAATTTAAAGTGGCGGGAAACTTGAGCCTATCAAAAAATGTAAGTTTTTTTCTGTTAAGACCAATTAACCAAGATATCTAAATTACATTCTTGGACAGAACGGATCTTTTCCAAAGCATATCTATGGCAAACTTTTAATTATTTGACCTTCTTGAGTTTAAAAAAAAAAAACGGCGAACTCAAACCAATGCCGTAAATTTCTATCGTCAATCCTACCGAAAAATTTATAGGTGAAACCCTAAGCATGCATTATACGTTATATTCAATCAAGGAACAGAATGTTGAAGATGTTGCAGCAGCCATATATGTCCTTTAACCTATTTTACAATACACAGGAATACACAGGACAAGTTTGACTCATTGAAGTCAAAAGCCCTCTTTTATTGCCGACTGCTCTTCTCTGAGCGTCGTTGAAGCTTCACAGCCTGTTTTGTCATTGTTTCAAATCTCATGATGGCTCTTCAGCCTTTCTACAACAAATTTTGTATGATTTCTGTAAGGAATTTATGGACCTGCTGCTACATGATTTTCTGTTAAAAGCTGCACATTTAACCATCCTAGCCATAATTTTCTTTTAGGAAAAGTTCTCAACGGGAATAGTCGTTTGACGATAATCTACCAATCTCAAAAAGTCATAGAGATGTTGATTTGAGGGTTCCCTTAATTGGGTAAAAATTCTTCATATTTGCTTCAGTAGTTGATGACTATATTTGTATATTTGATCGCTTTGACAACTATGACAACCAAAAAGACGAAGAAGTTCAATATAATCCGAAGAAAATCTGTGAATCATTCCGCCTAAAACTTACCGAGATCGGTATGATATCTAAAATAGATATATCATATTCCCCAGAGCGCAAGTTTTGATAATGGAAATCAAGTATCTAGCCTAATCTCAAAACATATTCCTATCACCAAAAAATCTAGTTTTCGTTTTCTCCACGCTTCTAAGCCTTTCTTTCTACGTGATGTAGAAAGAAAGGCTTAGAAGCGATTTATTAAGAATGAAACAATGAATATAGA